TGCAGTACCTTCAATTACATCATCTGTTGTCCATACTTCCTCAAAACCCTCCAGTATTTTCTGTTGGTCATGGGAGTTCTGTGTATCAAGTTTGGCACAATTCCATTGTTGGTAGAGTTCAGAATGCTCTTTGATTGTAGGTGAACTATAAATCACAGCAACTACAACTCCCAAATGTCAAGGCCTATTTTCCTAAAACCCCAACAGTATTCAAATGTGGGTATATTGAGTATTTGTGCCTAGTTTGGTTCAAATCCATAGTTGTTTGGGTTCATAGTGCTCTCCAGATGTAGGTGAATTACATCTCTAAATCACTGTCAATTCCTTCTAACCCCTCCAATATTTTCTGTTGGTCATGGGAGTTCTGTGTATCAAGTTTGGCACAATTCAATCATTGGTGGAGTTCAGAATGCTCTTTGATTGTAGGTGAACTATAAATCACAGCAACTACAACTCCCAAATAAGAAAAATCAACCACCCCCACCCCCGCAACTCCACCAGTGTTCAAATTTGGGTATATTGAGTATTTGTACCAAGTTTGATCCAGATCCATGGTTGTTTCGGTTCAGAGTGCTCTTCGGATGTAGGTGAACTACGTCTCCCCTAAATCACTATCAATTCCTCCGAAATCCATCCAGTATTTTTTTGTTGGTCATAGCAGTTCTCTGTGTCAAATTTGGTCCAGATCTGTCATTCGTGGGGGTCTTGGCTGTGGAAGTCAGAGCTGCATCAGTTGAAGGTACTGCAAATCCCATAATCCATTCTCCATACTCCCCCAAACATACCGTTTTTGTGATTAATCACTTTTTTTGTCGTGTCAGGAGCGACTTGAGAAACTGCAAGTTGCTTCTGGTGTGAGAGAATTGGCCATCTGCCAGGACGTTGCCCAGGGGATGCCTGTATGTTTAGATGCTTTATCATCCTTGTGGGAGGCTTCTCTCATGTCCCTGCACGAGGAGCTGGAGCTGACAGAGGGAGCTCATCCGTGCTCTCCTCGGATTCGAACCTGCAACCTGTCGGTCTTCAGTCCTGCTGGCACAGGGGTTTAACCCACTGCGCCACCGGGTTAATTATGTTCAATTTATGACAATGAAAATACACCCTGCATATCAGATTTTTACATTAAGATTCATAACAGTAGCAGAATTACAGTTATGAAATAGCAACAAAAAGAATTTTATGGTTGGGGGTCACCACAACATGCTGAACTGTATTAAGGGGTCACGGCATTAGAAAGGTTGAGAACCTTAAAGGCTAACAGAATGTAGGGTGAGAGCTGTCCAATGTACTGTAGTAAGGCCTAGATCAGGGAAGAAATATAAATTTTAGGTGTTGACTCTTAACAGAGTTAAGCTAGCAAGCTATTGTTTGAAAAAAAAATCAAAATTGCCATGTGTGAGCATTTGGGTTATTTATTTTAAAAAGCCAATATGATTTTAAGATTATTTAGCCTCTTTTCCATCTCTCAAACATGGGAACTAGATTAGCCAGTTGTCAGGAAATTTCCAACACCTTTAGTCACTTTATAGCTGAATAATCTACCATACATTGTGCACACATCTGTTTTTATACATATTTATCATAGCTGACAGATTGTTGAGAAGATAGCAATTGAAACTCATGCAGATTAAGATGAATTAATCTAGAAATGGTCAGCACAGGTCAGTGCAATCAAGTAAGAATATGCATAGGCTAAAGAAATGTTTGAATGCTTTCAAATTGCAAAGTAGGAAAAGTTGGATGTACTCCAAAATGAAGAGAATTAATGTTTTAGAAATAAGAATAAATAATACACGACAAAATACATTGCTATGGTGTCTGAAGTTATACAAGATGAAGGCAGTCCTCCAGATGGAACATGCATGAAGAAGAATAAGTTATACACTACTTTAATGGCAACAGTTCTGCTCTTTTCCATAGATCTTCACGTTAAACAAAAACTGGTGTTGGAGGAAGTTTAATGCATATAGAATGTGATCACAAAGAGCTTTCACGCAGATGAATTCTTGAGGATTGACATGAAAAGAAGGTGATGGGAAGTACCACACATTTAGAAACAAAAAGACCGAATCTCACCTTTGTTTTTTGGATCAAGGCACTTAATCCCATCTATCTATCCTTTTTTATTAATCTTTTCAGATTATTAGTAATATATATTTTACTTGAATCGTTTAAAGGATTTTCATATTTGGTGCACTAAACTTGGCCATCCATGGAACTACTAACTAGAACTTGGAAATTCATAAGGAAAACAGGATGGCTTATTGGTGAATGATCTACAATGCAGATACAGTACTGCATTATCACATTTCTTTGCAGTTTTCCCTGTTTTGCCATTTTTTTCAGTGTTCTTCTATACATACATTTAGAGAGAGTGATTAAATAACATATTATTCTTTTTAATATCAAGTTCTCTCTCCCCCCCCCCCCAAACACAATCTTTATATTGTCACCTTTCATTCTGAATCCATTTTACAGTGATGTTTCTGGTTTTGATAGCAATCTTCTTCCGATTTCTGATCCATGAAGCTAGATTGTTCTTTCTGTTCAAATTTCATATTCTGATTTTATTCTAAAATAGGACCTCAGAGCAGGTTACAGTCACAGAAATGGTTGGAATAGGGATACTGACAGGATATTTGATCTTCCATCTCTTTGCTTGCTTGCCTTCTGGTCTGCCTTTTGAAACAATATCCTCTGTTGTGTATGCTGCTTCGAATTCTAATGCCTAATAGATTTTGAAATACATCACAGATAAAATCTTTAGATGGTTTACAAGCATAGCCCTCAATTGAAATTAGAAATATACATCACATGGAGAATTCAATGCCACTGTTGTTTTAAATGGACTACAATCTGTGCCACCCCTATCATGAAGTGTCCTTGGCAAGATTTATTCAAAGGAGGTTTTCCACTTTCTTTTTCGAGACTGAGAGTGTATGATTTACCTAATGTCACCTAGTACATTTCCGTGGCTAAACTGGAATTCAAGCCCTGATCTCCAGAGTCCTAATCCAGCACGTGAACTACTGGCTCTCGTAATTAGTATGGATACATAAACTACCCAAAGTTGGCAGAAGAACATAGCCTTACAGAACAAATGTGTGTGTTTATGTGCTAGGTGCCCAGTGTGTTAGCAACTGTATAAAAAGTGATGTAAGGGAAACTAATAGCCTGCACAAACGAAACAGTAGATGAATATTGGATATTGTTCCCTCAGTAATTTTTGTGAAGATTAGGGTGTATAGTAACCATGGCAGTTATACAGGATGTCACCCTGTTGCTTTTCTGTTTGTTAGAAAACAATAAAGTTTCATTGCTGTTATTATTATTTTTTTGAAAGAAAGAATACAGCAAGAATTATTGCAAAGGTGTCCCCTCATTATCCAAATTATGGTGCTTATATAAGCTCTATGGGCCCAACAAATTGTGTCCAAATTATGTTCAGGATTAATAGCTAAAACTGATTTCTACCAACCAATAATATAAAGCAAAAGTACTTCTAAAATATGTACCTTGCCCATAGATTACTTTATTCACAAGGAATTATTTGGAGGGACTTTATTCTCAAGGAGTTGGAGAAGGTTAGATTTGGAGAGTTTCTTCATATAAAGATGCAGGATGAATCTCTTACTGGAATGTAGGATAGAGACTTGTAGGTCTACTTTGCATGTTGGAGACCAAAGAGAGAGAGAAGTGAATGGAACAGCAGCAAGGAGAAATGTTGAAAATGGTATGAGTACCCTTCAGACATCAGTCCACTTATCAGATCTTTAGTGTTCTTAGGGCAGAAAAGGGAGGAAACCCTTGCGGAAGCCATTTAGAACTAGATAATTGAGTCTCTACCCCTTTATTTGGAAGCTGTGGTGCCCATCTCATTCTCATATACAGAGTCCAGTTTGAGCAATGACTAGAGACATTGAATGGTGTTTGATCTTTGATTATGAAAGCTTGTATGATTCTGAGTTAATAACAAAACTTAATGATCATGTAACAGAAAATAGATAGGATGAACTCTACTTCCAAATGAGTATAATATGAACTTAATAGTTTGTAAAGTCATAATATATGCCTGTTGGAACTAATGATGGAGAGGACTTTGGGGGAGAACCCATAGCTGCATTCAGAATGCATGCCAAAACACACCATAGCTGACTACATAACAGAATTGATAAACCTCAAGATCTAAAGAGCATTAAGTTTAAACCTTTAATATGCATAAGACACCACTTTTGAGAAGATATTATGTGTAGCACAGTGCCATACAACCTGTGGTCAGGTACATATTGATGATGTTGTATAAAAGGGCTCCCTGACCCTTTTTAATACTTTCCAGCTGTTCTTCTGCTATTTCTGTCTAAAGTCAAATTCTTTTTTAATAACCAGCTGTGCTTTCCTCAGAGATAAGAGTAAGCAACATGTTTGCTCAGTTAAATATATGCACATTTTAAAATGGTCACTGACTGGTTTTTGAAGATGAAGATTAAAAAAAGAACAACACAGAAGGAGCAGGAAATAAAACCATTTTATGGTAACAGTTTATATGGAATAACCCAGATTTGCCTAGGCAGTAATGGTTTTACAGGAATTTGTATATATGGGCTCTTAAATATTTTGTTCCAATCAAAGAGGTGCAATCTTCTTGCCATCCTCTTATAGCTGCAAGCCTAACACTCACTGTGTATGATTATTTCTTGAGTTAGCAACAGTGAAAAGAAATTAAGGAATGTAAACATGATATGTGTAAGGCCTGAAACCTAGACTTGAATCTTGCTGGCAGAGACCCATTGAAGAAATTGCTGAATTGTCAGCGTTTATATAATTTTTGTATCAATCCATTGGGGCTATTCTATTTGAAGTTAGTAATAGCATATAGGCCCTGGTAATTATTGGAGCTTGTCTCTGTTTTAGAGAAAGTGAAACAAGAAACAATAAAAAACAGTGCTATATATTTTGGGATACTGTTTTACTGAAGGGCAATCTGTGGTTTTTTCCAACAGGGAGGAAAATGTGCTGCATCTAAAATGGCATCATGCTGTCTCCCTCAAATAGAATTTGAAAGCTTCTAAAACTACAGATCTCTTGGTAAGTGTTTTATTATCTTGGCCATAATTCTATCTTATAAATTCAGGCTGGAAGAGACAATGAAGATATATGATCAGACTCTTGTCTCTTCAAATTTTGAGAGAAGTCAGCTGTGTATGGAGGGGGAGTTGTCATGGAGTAGGGGAAGGGCGATTTCTGGTAAACATTCATACAATAACCATAACTATCTCTACTACTGAGAGATACATTCTCTTTTGTTGTTGCTGATGTGTGCCTTTTCATTGTTTTTGACTTGTGCCAACTTATAGGTTTTCTCTGCAAGTATTTGCCATGGCCTTTGTCTGAGACTGAAAATGTGACTTGTCCAAGTTTATGTAGTGGGTTTCTGTTGCTGAGCAGGGATTTGTCCCATTATATCATGCTGGCTCTCATATACCAGTGAAGCATATAGTATTCTATTTTTGACTTATTATATCATGGATTCTGTGCATTTGATACTTTGCTGATATTTTGAAGACACATTTTAAAAGCCTATAATATCTCATTGAAACAAGCTTAATGGTATGGAAGCAATATAGTAATTGTAAGCATTAATGTTACCTCATTTGGATCTCAAAATCCTGCTTGTGTTTCTCCTTTCTGAATTGTTTTTTTTTATAAAATATGGACATTGTTGACAAATCGTTCTCCCCTTTTTCTTCTTATCTCTTCAAATTATTTTCTTTGACAGTTCTGATTTTATTGATTTTAAGAGAACTGCATACTACTTCTGGTCTTCCATAAAAGAGCAAAAATTGAGCAGTCCTGATACTTAAGTTCAAACCAGCCAAAGATATTGACCACAAGAACATTAGGTATTTTTTTTGATGTGGTTGTTTTGGATAAAGCTTTTTTATTTTGATAGCCTTGTATGTTGATGGCACAGATAAGACTGATCTGTTCTGAGACACTGTGGCTTTTATCGCTAGTGACAGGGTTTCCATTAATAGATGCAGTGGCTCAGAGCCTGTGAGCATGAAATGAACTGATCTAAGTAGAAAAGAGAGTGATGCAAGCTCAATGGTGTGTTTAAAATTTTACACTGGGTCAGTGGGGCCAGGATTTAACTGTGAGCTCAAGCAAGCAAGCAAAAAATCAGCATAAATATATGAGGGAGACAGATTCCTTTAGGGCAAATTACAGCTTTGATATGAATGTTACTGTTTAGATATAGCTTTAAACCATTTTGTTGGGTTAAGGCTGATTGTAAGAACTGAGTGGAGGCTTGCTTGATTAGCACTCTAGTGTTCTTTTGTGTGTTGCCTCAAGCCTTATATCGGAGCATATAGTCTTAGAAAGGTGAGTCATCTCTTGAGTAGAATTGTTTTGTATGTGTAAGGAGTGATTTGAGAAACTGTAATTTGCTTCTGGTGTGAGAGAATTGGCTGTCTGTGAGGACATTACCCAGGGGACACTCAGATGTTTGATGTTTTACCATCCTGTGGGAGGCTTTTCTCATGTCCCTACATGGGGAGCCAGAGCTGATAGATGGAGTTAATTTGAATTCTTCCTGGATTCGAACCTCCAGCCTGTTGGTCATCAGGTCTACTGGTACAAGAGTTTAACCCAATTCACCACCGGGGGCTCCTGAGTAGAAATGAACCAGAGACTTGGGTGGGAGAGGAGTTAACAGCCACTGGTTCTCTGTTTAGCTGCATTTCCAGGCCCTGGAGTTCTGTGAACAGGAACTTGGCAAGCAGGCAAAGTCAATAGGGGTGTTTTATATGGATTTGGTGGGAGAGAAAGCATAAGGTGAGCTTGTGTTTGTTGGATTAAGCCTGTCCAGCCCAGGAAAATCATTGGGATAATATTATGGGTTAAGGCTGCTGGGTCTTTTGCAGTAAGGCTGTTTGTAGAAGCTGAGAGGTGGTTTTCTGGCTTGCTTGCATGCTTGATAGGGTTCTATTGTGCTTTGATGGACTTGCGTCTGTTGGGTTGAGGTTGATTGTTTGTGTGAGCAGAATTTATCTGTAGTTGTGTACCTTTCTAACAAGCAAGGCCAACAGATGTGTTTTATGTGGATATTTTGTGGGGTAGTTTTGAAAGGGAGGCCTGGAGTTCTGTTTCAGAGCCTGTGTAAGATAACTTAGTATGGATGGAGATGTAGCTACTGCTGTCACCTGCAACATTTGTGATATGTTTGTGTTCATAGCTATATTTGCAATCAGTACAAGTTGGTTGTTTTATTAGTCCAGCAACCTAAGGCCCATGTGTCTACTTCTAATCTTCAATATATTAAGGAGGATGAGGTTTTCTTGGACAGAGTGAAGTACACTGTCGTGGAAAAGGTGCATACAAAAGGTGTCTCTGAGGAGAAGGTCAGTTCTCAAACACAGATGGGAGACATTTGAGCAAATGGAGCACATGAATGTAGGAGGACCAGGGATAATTCTGTGAGTTTGAAGCTGCAAAATTGGTTCAAAGCTCTCTCATTCATCACCAGTGATGAAGAACAGGAACAAGAGCAAAAGTGTCAGTTCTCAGAGAATATGCAGGTGACCTTGGAAGATTTAGCACATTGAATGGCCCCTGTTAATCCTCAGAGCAAATGCATAGTGGTGATTGGGGCCTACTGTCTGACGGAAAGAGAAACAGTGGTTTGTGGACTAGAAATGATGTATTTTCTTTTCTGGTATGATGTTTCCCTGGAGAAGTATCTGTGATGTTGACAATTACCCTTTCCTTTTTGGTCCATGTAGCACCCAAAGGCAATGCAAGCCATCACTTCCAGGATTTCATAAGGAGTTACAAGGTTCTAGGTACAAATCCGAATTACCTTGATGCACAGATTGTTATGGTGTCTTCCATCCCATTTGAAGGGCATGGTCCAGGAAGAGAGTGAAAAATTGTAGATGTGAATAACTTTACTAATTCTGTAAGTAAGAGGATAGTTGGGAAATACCTGGATATCCAGATGAACTACATCCAGTGGTATTAAAACAACTGGCAGGAGTAATCTCAGAATTGCTGACAATAATACTTAATAATTATTGAAGAACAGGAGAAGTTCCAGCACATTGGAGAAAGACAAATACCCCCATCTTCACAAAAAGAAAAGAAAGACCACTCATACAATTACTGCCCAGCCAACCTGACATCAATAGCAGGCAATATTCTAGAGCAGATTATTAAGATAACTGTCTTTAAGCATTTTAGAAAGAAATTCAATGAACACTAAAAATCAGTAGGGATCCCTTAAAATTAAGCCCATATTAATTATTTATTCCTTTTTTATAGGTATGTGTTTTCTCTCAAATGCCACTTTGTAATTATTTTATTGATGTAACATGGGATAAAATAAGCTTTTATGATACGGTTATAAGTTTGTTACATGAAGTGAATCCTTGATTTCACTATTGCCTTACAAAATGTTCCATGGTATTATTGCAAACTAGGTAAAATTAAAATGTAAACTAAACAATGATACTGTTTGGTGGATTTGTAACTGGTTGGTTAACAAAAGCCAAAAAGTCCCTTCTCATCATGGAGAGGGAGCGCCCAGTGGCGCAATGGGTTAAACCCTTGTGCCGGCAGGAGTACCGACCTGAAGGTTGCCAGTTTGAATTTGGGGAGAGCACAGATGAGCTCCCTCTGTCAGCTCCATCTCCCCATGTGGGGACATGAGAGAATTTATTTTATTTATTTTATTTACAGTATTTGTATACTGCTTTTCTCACCCCGAGGGGGAGAAGCCTCCCCCAAGGATGGTAAAACATTTTTTAAAATGCGGGCGTCCTCTGGGCAATGTCCTTGCAGATGGCTCATTCTCCCACACCAGAAGCAACTTGCAGTTGCTCCGCACACACGAAAAAAAATCATGGAGAGAAGTGACTAGCAAGTCACATGGTTCTGTTTTCAGCTGAGTGCTATTTTAAGACTTCTTCTGCACAAGATGAATTCCTAGGTTATTTATTCAAAGGTTATTGGTTGCATCCAACAAACAGGACTAGATCTAAATGTCCATGCAACAGCAGACAGCAGTTTTAAGGTTTTCAATGGTGGAAAATTGAGAAAGTATAGAAAAATGAGACTGATAGAATTGGATAACTATGGAGTGACTTTAGTATAAAGTCAGTTCTTTTCTACATTTCCCTCTTTCCTTTTTGCTAACACTTTGTCTGAACCCAACTGAAATCCCAACGAGAGTAGAATCATTGAATTACTGGGTCAACACCAATGTAAGTATCATTAATTTAACTCAGTTTACTCTGTTTGGGACTAAGTGGAATTTACCCCCCTTGAAGCTTGCTCACAATTTGTGCATTTTTATGGGTCTAATGAAGGTATTGCCTAACCATACAATTTCATAAGATGATCAAATTTACTGTAGCAGCCATCTGTTAGGAATCCATGAGGAGTATGTGGATATTATGGAATGTAACCTTCATGTTTTAATCCAATCAGTGAAATTATTACAAATAATTTACAACTGATTAAAGAATAGGACTTTCCAAGCTCCATTTCTCCCACCCACAGTATGACATTAAATATGTGCAACAACTCATTTATCTTCTCTGAGGGTGGTGCTAGTTGGTAGGATAACAATTCAGAGTTACTCAGTTTATTTAGAAAGTTCATAAACATTGATTTGTTACATCATGTATGACAAATTGTTCTTTGATCTCTAAGCTCTGAATGCTGCTAGAACAAAATGGTGCAATAAAAGGATTTTAACTGATGAGACATAACTACATCAGTATATTTTCATGCCAAATGTAAGCAATCCACCTCAATTATGTTAATTTGTGCCCTAAAAGAAAATGATACAGCTGTTCAGTGAATCGCAAAGGTAAAGATACTATCTTTTTCAGCAGAAAAGTTTCCACAATATTCTTGCCAGAAGGCAGTCAAAATGTTGTATGTACATCTTTTTAAACAGAGCATATAATTCACAAGTTCTCAGTGCTCAGAAGGTTGTACATATTTATGGTCTCCCGCTGAGTGACAGTTTCTCTTGAATCATCTTTGCCTTACTAGCTCATATCATTTACTATACAGCA